ATTTTAGATGTAAAATAGCGGCAGAAAGTAGTGTTGAATTTTCAGTAATGTGTTGTTAAAGTAGGAAATGTAAGCAAAGAAGTATTTTGAATTCCATACAAAATACGAACTCTCTATTCTTCTACCAATTGCCAAAGAGCAAAAGAAGAGAAAAATAGTAATATATAAAAATATAATATACATGTATATAGCCAATGAGTATTTTTTTGTAAAAAGATACCAAAATTAAAATGTTGTTAAAAAATAAAGAAATAGTTAAATTTCATGGGCTTTATGGGCCTTTAAGCGTGAAGTATCCGCTGAAATAAACATAATTTTATGTCAAAATGATTCATATATCGACAGTAAATATCTTCATATTTTATCTTAAGTTAGACAAATAAAATTTTAAGACATGCACTTGAAACCGAAACCGATACAGACATGCTCTTGATAAAAGTGTCAGCTATCAAGTTACAAATGACACAGTTTCAGGACATTGTTTTACATAATAAAACTGACTTTCGTAGTCAGGAGCCTAATTGAAAAAGATTATTAATGACATTGTCCGTAAAACGAATAATCGCATTATGTCTTGTTTTTATCCGCATTGATAGAATACCATTTATTATTTTTTTTATTCTAGAATTGCGACACCTTCAGTTAAAACCGAGATTCTAAAAAAAAAAAAAAAAAAAAAAAAAAAAAAAAAAACTGAAACATCTCGTGTTTAATCTTAAATTCTTTTTATGTCTTTTTATGTCTTTTATGTTTTTTTTTTTGGAAACTGTTATTTAAGGTATTTTATATACTCTAAATTTATTTTGAGATTTCCTTTTTTTAAAGAAAATTTTTGGCAATACTTCCAAAGCATATTTGTAATGTTTGGGCTATTTTCATTGTTGTTTTAAAGCGAGATTTGTATGAATGGAATTAAGCTTAAAAAGTAACGTTATAACAAAATAACAATGAAATAATAAAAAAAGCTGACACAGCAGGAAAAAGCAAGACAATGTATATAGATATTGAAGCTCTGTTATTCTTTAAGAACAACTTGACTTTATCTTAAATGAAGCGATAGACGAAAATACACGAGAAAAAAATCAAACATTTTAGCGTTCCTAAGCATTTTGTCATGATGTAGTATAAATGTCTTGTTTTAATTTGAGGTGTCGGTCTACTTGAGGGAAGGTTTATGGCGATAAAATTTATTATATCATTCTTTCTATGTATGCCATTTATAGACAAAAGTCCACTTGGATGTAATCTTCATAAATCATATAAAATCAATACTTTGTAAGCTTTTTACAACCAACACTTGTAATAATATATGTTTGTTTTGTTCAAGCATCTATAAATTGTTTGTAAAACACACATACACGTACCACCTCTACCAGATTTTATGTTTTATTTACTTTAGTGTCATATGTTCAATATGCACGGTTGAGGTGCCAGCACAGTGATACAATAGCATTATATCTTTTATTTTGTTATTTTGATCTCTGCTTCTCTAAAAATGTATAAAAATGAATAAATAAATTATAATAAACAAATGATGTTAAATAATAAATAAATAAATAATAATAAATAAAATAATAATAATAATAATAATAATAATAATAATAATAATAATAATAATAATAATAATAATAAATAATAATATAATAATATTAATGATAATAATAATATAATATAAATAAAAAACAACAACAGAAAAACGTTGTGAGCGGATGAACCATTAGTATGCGAAAGATAAAAAGGTCAAACTCTAAGCAGTTTATTTCCACCTACACAGTATTACATGTATGCAGTACGATAATAGTCTTTTTACACTAGTGTTCTTATTTTTCAACGAAATAATCGAGACAGAAATATTAGCACACACCACTGCTTTACGAATGTAAAACTATTTTGAAAACTTTTTAATAGAGTCTAAAAATTTCATTAGCATTCAGAGCAAACTGCCAGTTTTTAACAGCAAAATTCTGCTGTAGAAATATAAAAGTAAAATATAAGTCTTATATTTTAAAAAGGGTAAAATAGAACCAATCATTTATTTATACTTTCTGTCGAGAAGTGCTTGTTTCACAGCAACTGCCACTTTTTGGCCCTTTCCGACAGTCTTTTAATTATAAATAATAGCCGAGGACGTTCCGATTGGTTTAACAGCAATTTCAGCCTGGTGCCTGCCTTTATGTACAAATGTTTCCTTCGCCTTTTTGTAGATCAAAGAAATTCTTAAATTAAATCGTAGTTTATTGATAGGATAAATTTATATACCTTAGAGGGAATGAAATTACCATAAACATGTTAGATGTTGCATTATAAGTTGTTTGAAAGAAGTTAGAAATAAGGGTAGTTTTTTTGTAATAAAGTAATATACTAAAGAGAAATGGCGAATTGTTAACATACCCGCATAAAAGAACACTTAGTGCAGTTTTGGACGCCATAAGGCATTCTTGGTTAAAGAAGATGACAGAACATGTTCTTTTTTGAAAGATAGAAAGATACGGATGGTATATTGCACGTTACTTTTAACCTCAAAACAATAACTAATCATTCTATAGCATGAGAAGATATCTAAGATAAGATTTGCTAATTAAATATTGATTCATTATCCATTATTTCATATGAACTTCGATTCCAAGAAGGTATTTTATTTTGAAATCTATTTAGGAAAGCTCTAAAGGGCTTGTAGCCTAGCTGTATAATAAAACTTGAACATAAACAAAAATAATGAAAATGGCAAAATTAACTTGGTTAGTGCAGTATGCATAAAAAAAATATCCTGAGTAACAAGTGACCCAAGTTCGAAACCTAGCAGTTAAAATTATGTTGTGAATATATTTTAAGATACGAAAGTAATGCCAAATTAAAATCTGCAACAGTCTTAACAACATCTATTTGTCTACAGATTTACATATGGGATATGAATGCCTCGGAGTTATTGATCAATCATGATTTTGATAAAAGAAATGAATGTTTTTTGTTTTAATTATTTGATTTGTTTTTGTTAGTGTCTAATGTAATGTAGTATATTTGCTTGTATCAACGTGGCGGTACATATAATGGACAAATTTTATAATTTTGTTAGCACTACAGTATATTGTTTTCGTATATTAATCATAGATCTGTACAAACGGTAGGAAATCTCATGTACATTGAAACAATTGAGAATTGTACTGATATTATTTCTGCCGTTGACAAAGTAGATTGAGTTATTTATACAAGTATTATACATACTGATGGCGTATACAATAATAATTATACATTCTAGAAAACGGAGATCACTTGAGAACATTGAAAAAATAAAATTAGAAAAAAAAAATTACTTAGGTTCATTAAAGATTATGAAAACGTCTAAAGAAGATTCAGCGAGACTGGAGATTTGAAATTTTCTTTGTAAAGAGTTCCTCATAAGAGGACTTTTCTCCTTAAAGGAACTTCACTAAGGTGCAAAAGCCTAAAAACATCGAATTTGAATTTCTTATTGAGATCAGCTAGAGTACTCAAAACAAAAAAAATATGATCGTATTTTGGTATTATTTTGCCCCCAATTGAAGTGATAAGCGTTGTAACGTTTTTCAATTTTGGGTTAATTTTCATTATTAGAATAATTATTCTGGAGGAAAAATGGATGTGAGCGAAGTGATCTGAAAAATTTGCACACAAGTTAAATTGTTCTAGGCCTACTCAAATTGGCAATATTTGTCTTGAATAATAATTTTTCGGCCGTCCTCGTCAAAAAACCCAGTGAAGTCCCTTTAATTTAGCGGGGATCGAACCTAACGATTCACTGGAATATGTGGTGTCCAGACAGTGTTTGTCACCAAGACGCCTCATTCATTTTAGTTAAAAATATATATGTATACTTTTCACCAAGACGCTCATTAATTTTAGTTAAATATATATGTATACTTTCACCAAGACGCTCATTAATTTTAGTTAAAATATATATGTATACTTTCACCAAGACGCTCATTAATTTTAGTTAAAATATATATGTATACTTTCACCAAAACGCTCATTCATTTTAGTTAAAATATATATGTATACTTTCACCAAGACGCTCATTCATTTTAGTTAAAATATACTAGTATATGTATACTTTCACCAAGACGCTCATTCATTTTAGTTTGAATATATATGTATACTTTATTTTTGTTATCATTCTAATTCTGCATGCCTTGTATATAGAAAACTGTTTATGCTCACTTGTGTCTGCAATATTGTTAAATCGCACGTGATATCAAAACATGTTTACAATTTGTTTTACACGGCCTAACACTGAAACATTATTTATATCTTTATCATTCTACACCATTCTATCATAGAACGAGAACATTCTATAGAATATTTATTTGCCAGTATACTTTTGAATATTCTAGAAACTTTACATATCTTCTTATATAGACATATCTATACAGTCTTTTGAAGAAATAAAACGAACTTTATAGAAACTTAATCTAGAATATTCTTTGTATATACATTTGTATATGAAACAATCTTCTAGTGAGAGAGTAAGTTTAAGTGCGTTTATGTTCAAACCAGAATAAATAAGCATCGTCTGTTAAGGTCATAAATGAATCAAGAGACCGACGTGCTACTGGTGTGGCTTCCTTACTTCTTGCAAAATCTACCTCGCCTTAAGATAAACCTACACAAGATAGAACTACGCCTGACTCCCAACAAGAAAGATTTAAGACTGACTCACAACAAGACAGATGTAAGACTGACTCACAACAAGCAAGATTTAAGACTGACTCGCAACAAGCAAGATTTAAGACTGACTCTCAACAAGCAAGATTTAAGACTGACTCGCAACAAGCAAGATTTAAGACTGACTCTCAACAAGACAGATGTAAGACTGAATCGCAACAAGACAGATGTAAAACTGACTCACAACAAGGAAGATGTAAGACTGACTCTCAACAAGAAAGATGTAAGACTGAATCGCAACAAGACAGATGTAAAACTGAATCGCAACAAGAAATATTTAAATTTGACTCGCAACAAGGAAGATGAAGACTGACTCACAAAAAGAAAGATTTAAGACTGACTCACAACAAGCAAGATTTAAGACTGACTCTCAACAAGAAAGATTTAAGACTGACTCACAACAAGGAAGATGTAAGACTGACTCTCAACAAGAAAGATTTAAGACTGACTCTCAACAAGAAAGATTTAAGACTGACTCACAACAAGAAAGATTTAAGACTGACTCACAACAAGACAGATGTAAGACTGACTCACAACAAGGAAGATGTAAGACTAACTCGCAACAAGAAAGATGTAAGACTGACTCTCAACAAGAAAGATGTAAGACTGAATCGCAACAAGACAGATGTAAGACTGAATCGCAACAAGACAAATGTAAGACTGAATAGCAACAAGAAAGATTTAAATTGGACTCGCATCAAGTAAGCTTTTAAACAGACATAACAAGAAAGTTTTAAGACTGACTCGCAACAAGAAAGATTAAAGACTGACTCGCAACAAGCAAGATTTAAGACTGACTCGCAACAAGACAGATGTAAGACTGACTCTCAACAAGAAAAGATGTAAGACTTACTTCACAACAAGAAAGATTGTAAGACTGACTCTCAACAAGAAAGATGAAAGACTGAGCTCGCAACAAGAAAGATTTAAGACTGACTCACACAAAGAAAGATTTAAGACTGACTCTCAAACAAGCAAGATGTAAGACTGACTCACAAACAAGAAAGATTTTAAGACTGACTCGCAACAAGAAAGATTTAAAGACTGACTCGCAACAAGAAAGATGTAGGACTGACTCTCAACAAGAAGATGAAGACTGACTCGCAACAAGAAAGATTTAAGGACTGACTCACAACAAGAAAGATTTAAGGGGACTGACTCTCAACAAGCAAGATGTTAAGATCTGACTCACAACAAGAAAGATTTAAGACTGACTCGCAACAAGAAAGATTTAGACTGACTCACAAACAAGAAGATTTAAGACTGACTCTCAACAAGCAAGATTTAAGACTGACGAGCAACAAGAAAGATTTAAGATGACTCTCAACAAAAAGATGTAGACTGACTCTCAATTAAGAAAGATGTAAGACTGACTCACAAACAAGAAAGATTTAAGACTGACTCACAACAAGAAAGATTTAAGACTGACTCTCAACAAGACAGATGTAAGACTGAATCGCAACAAGACAGATGTAAGACTGACTCTCAACAAGAAAGATGTAAGACTGACTCTCAACAAGAAAGATGTAAGACTGACTCTCAACAAGAAAGATGTAAGACTGACTTTCAACAAGAAAGATGTAAGACTGAATCGCAACAAGACAGATGTAAGACTGACTCTCAACAAGAAAGATGTAAGACTGACTCTCAACAAGAAAGATGTAAGACTGACTCTCAACAAGAAAGATGTAAGACTGAATCGCAACAAGACAGACGTAAGACTGAATCGCAACAAGAAAGATTTAAATTTGACTCGCATCAAGTAAGCTTTTAAACAGACATAACAAGAAAGTTTTAAGACTGACTCGCAACAAGAAAGATTTAAGACGTACTCGCAACAAGACAGATGTAAGACTGACTCGCAACAAGCAAGATTTAAGACTGACTCTCAACAACAAGCAAGATGTAAGACTGACTCGCAACAAGAAAGATTTAAGACTGACTCTCAACAAGCAAGATTTAAGACTGACTCTCAACAAGCAAGATTTAAGACTGAATCGCAAAAGAAAGATGTAAGACTGACTCACAACAAGAAAGATGTAAGACTGACTCACAACAAGAAAGATTTAAGACTGACTCTCAACAAGCAAGATTTAAGACTGAATCGCAAAAGAAAGATTTAAGACTGACTCTCAACAAGAAAGATGTAAGACTGGCTCTCAACAAGCAAGATGTAAGACTGACTCACAACAAGCAAGATGTAAGACTGAATCGCAACAAGACAGATGTAAGACTGAATCGCAACAAGACAGATGTAAGACTGAATCGCAACAAGACAGATGTAAGACTGAATCGCAACAAGAAAGATGTAAGACTGAATCGCAACAAGAAAGATGTAAGACTGACTCACAACAAGCAAGATGTAAGACTGACTCTCAACAAGAAAGATGTAAGACTGACTCTCAACAAGCAAGATGTAAGATTGACTCACAACAAGCAAGATGTAAGACTGAATCGCAACAAGACAGATGTAAGACTGAATCGCAACAAGACAGATGTAAGACTGAATCGCAACAAGACAGATGTAAGACTGACTCACAACAAGCAAGATGTAAGACTGAATCGCAACAAGCAAGATGTAAGACTGACTCTCAACAAGCAAGATGTAAGACTGACTCACAACAAGCAAGATGTAAGACTGACTCACAACAAGAAAGATTTAAGACTGACTCTCAACAAGCAAGATTTAAAGACTGACTCTCAACAAGCAAGATTTAAGACTGACTCGCAACAAGACAGATGTAAGACTGAATCGCAACAAGACAGATGTAAGACTGACTCGCAACAAGAAAGATTTAAGACTGACTCTCAACAAGCAAGAATTAAGACTGACTCACAACAAGACAGATGTAAGACTGACTCACAACAAGAAAGATTTAAGACTGACTCTCAACAAGCAAGAATTAAGACTGACTCACAACAAGACAGATGTAAGACTGACTCGCAACAAGACAGATGTAAGACTTACTCACAACAAGAAAGATTTAAGACTGACTCTCAACAAGCAAGATTTAAGACTGACTTACAACAAGACAGATGTAAGACTGACTCGCAACAAGACAGATGTAAGACTGACTCGCAACAAGACAGGTTTAAGACTGACTCTCAACAAGCAAGATTTAAGACTGACTCTCAACAAGCAAGATTTAAGACTGACTCGCAACAAGACAGATGTAAGACTGAATTCGCAACAAGACAGATGTAAGACTGACTCGCAACAAGAAAGATTTAAGACTGACTCTCAACAAGCAAGAAATTAAGACTGACTCACAACAAGACAGATGTAAGACTGACTCACAACAAGAAAGATTTTAAGACTGACTCTCAACAAGCAAGAATTAAGACTGACTCACAACAAGACAGATGTAAGACTGACTCGCAACAAGACAGATGTAAGACTTACTCACAACAAGAAAGATTTAAGACTGACTCTCAACAAGCAAGATTTAAGACTGACTTACAACAAGACAGATGTAAGACTGACTCGCAACAAGACAGATGTAAGACTTACTCACAACAAGAAAGATTTAAGACTGACTCTCAACAAGCAAGATTTAAGTCTGACTCACAACAAGCAAGATTTAAGACTGACTCGCAACAAGACAGATGTAAGACTGACTCACAACAAGACAGATGTAAGACTGAATCGCAACAAGACAGATGTAAGACTGACTCACAATAAAGAAAGATCTTAGACTGACTCAGCAGGAGGTATATCTATACAGGTTAATGTTAAATGTGTTGTTGTATCTGTAAGTAACGTACATAAACGCGCTCGACTTCAAAGGAAATACATAACCCCTCTTTCTATATTCTCATTAAAAATCTGATGCTTATCAATTATGTTTTCTATCAGGAAAATAAGTAGGCTAATTTCATCTATTTTGAATCAGCAAGCTATTTTAAAGGCCACAAAAGTTCCAGTGAACCTTGAAAGATAATTTTGTTTGTTCTTTACAACATTAAGCTTTAAATACAGTGGGAATGTACATTATTTTTTCCAAAGAGGGATAAAGTAATATTCAATATATCTTTTAACTAGGACAAGACAAGGTAAGACATCTGCTCGAAATATTAATGAAATATAAATGATGTGTTTATTTTTTTTATTGTTTAACACAGACTTATAATCTAGACCACGAACAATATGTTTTTTTAAATACTTGATATTTTGCAAAGCATAAATGTAGTGTGTGTAAATATTTTAGGATGATTGAAAAAGACTTCTTCGAGAAATTCGACTTTTCTCGTCAGTATCGGTGCTATTATGAAACTATAAAATTGCGAATTCAAGTTAAATGAAATGAAAATAAAAATTAATCTCACTTAATGCTAAGTTTGATGCTATGCCACTATAATGTCATGTACATGAAATAATTCAAATCAATGGACATTCGGATTGATTTTGCCATTTTCCATATAAATGTACATTTGTATTATACTCTTGTTTACGTAACATTATATGAATTCATGCAACAGTTGTTTTTTGCAGATATTATCGAATATTTAAACCATAATACGCTTAATGTGCTTGTGCATATGTTTAAATTGTTTTTCACCATAACTTCGTGTAAGAAAGTAAAAATACTTCTTTTATGTGTTTCACAACATTAAGATGTAAATTTTAGAACATACATGTAATAGGAATTAAAATGATGTGCGTAATTTTCATTTTGTTTGATTTAAAGAATTGGTCGTTTGGTCAATATATTTGTTTATTTTTCGTTGTTATTTTGACTTCATTAGAAACAACATTTTTTTTTCCGTATTTTATGTCGTTTTCATTTCATAGAGCGCAGTAAAACTTACTGTAATCGTTTTCGTACGACCGATTTGTATATCAATGATATTTTGTTATCTTGCAGATGTCGCCTGCTATCGTTTGAACAAGTTGTTAGCGATGTAACTTATCTGTGTTATATAAGAGGTGGTGTACATAAATGCAGACGACGATTAGAAAAGGGACGCTGGGTTACGAGGAGTGGTTTGACATTTCGATACCTTACGAGACCTTACGAGAATTCAGATTTCTTAAGATAACCCGGGTATAATAAAAAGCACTCGATAAAGCTTATATTTTAATTTAAGTTTATTTATGCGATACCGTTTAATGCCCGGAGGTTTTATTATTCTGCGTTACAGCGCACATAAATAATATAAAAGAAAAATATTGGAACGTAAGAATTATTTGCATGGAACGAGTGAATTCAAGTGTTCATCAGCTTCGGACAGTTATTGTACATGTGTATGGAAAAGAAACTACAAACTGTGTTGAATGTTTAGTGTGTCATATTAGCATTGTTTCTGACTCAGACGACAACAAGTAAAATACAAAGTTTCTACCGGAAGTTGACTGTAGAGCGCACTGGAGGACTTGTATATGATGAGACAGTAAGTAGGTGCTTGAACTATGTTTTCTTTGCTTTTGATATTTATATATATCTAAATGTGGTTAAAGAATTGATATATAGAATGTGTATAGTGTTCGATACATGGAAGAGAGCAAGAGTTAATTTTTTTAAAAATAAATTTGATATTATATAAATACATGATTTTAATTGGACGTAAAGTAGGTGAGTTGTTGTATGTTGTTGTCGACTTTCATTGCTACAGTCAGGTAGTCGTTCCCGTTGCCGTCAAGAAAATTTTAACATTTGACATTATTATTTTATTTATTTATGTCTTCATACTTGGACACAACAACCTTTATTTTCAAGTAGACCAGACTGAACTTTACCTTGACTCATTAATGATTAATGACATTGACCTTTAAGGTCTAATGTTTGAAGTTTGCTAAAATTGTCTATACAGTAACGTTGTTATTTATGAATGCAACAATCCTTTTGACATGAAGACCCTCAAGTAAACCAGAATATTTATAGTCTTCACTCATTATGACCTTGACATTGAAGGTTTAATCAATTTTTTTTCTTGTAATTGATAAATTGATTGTTCTTACACTTGTACAGAACAATCCTCGTGACAAGATATACATGTAAAAGATTTATTTAAACTTGACCTTAATTTAACCTTGACACTAGGTTAAATTTGTGAACTTTGCTGTAGTTGGCCATATCTTTATTTGTTTATTAATTTGATTTATAACACTGAAAACTTTGACCTTTAAATTAACTTGACCTTCAATGTCAAATATTGAATTTATCTTAGACTTTCATAACTTTGTTTTTACGGATTTGATTTATACTTTATGACAAAAGAACCCTTATGACAAACCCCGTATGTTGAATAATTCGAATATTATCTTAACCTGAAATTGACACTGACCGTCAAAGGGGTCAAATTGGCTTTACTAAGGAAGGTCACTTGATTTTAGACATATGAAAAACTTTTAAAATCTTCAAATGAGCTGCATGGCATAGAACATACATATTTTTGTATAGCACCGTATGGAGAATCACCATCAAGTTTATACAATACATTACCCTGTGGTCAAAAATAGGTTCTCCAAATGGATCACTTGATTATACATAGTCACATCTTTAAATAATCTTTTTCCAAATGCCAAGAGCTGTGTGTAATATTGTTAGGCGAATCAATATCAATGTTTTAATGTAAATTATTACCTGAGGGTCAGAAGGGGTCCAGCACTGGGGGTCACTTGACTTCACATTGTCTCATTTAGAAAAAAAACTTCGAAAATATTCTCCGTAACTGCATCGGCTTAGAGCTTGTAGCGTCGCATTGTAGACCATTAATACGTATATATGTAGTTCAAGACCCATGCGTTAAAAGTGGTCCCGCCCCGAAGATCACTTGTCTGTACGGAAAAGCTTTGAACACCTTCTACTCCAACGTTCAAGGCATACAGTTTATATAATTGATGTGTAGAATGGACATTGAGAAATAGATTACTAGCAAGTGTTTTATTTTTAAAATCAAAACTGGTGGTTACAATTGACCAATCCATTGGGTTAACTTGAATTGGCATCTTGCTACTAGAATATATTCTCTTTGGTATGATTCGAACATACATGTATAGCGGTGAGCGATTCAATGCCATTACCATTAACCATGCACTCGGCAACCATTTACCTAACAGGTTATACAAGGTTAAAGGGTCAGCTTTACAATGCTTTAAAGCGTTCCAACAGGTTCAACATTGTTTTCTTTCCAGGTTTAATATTACATGACGGATACTGCTGATCAAACCATGGGAGGCGGAAGGGAAAAAGACGCCAACGGGAAAGAGACTCGAAATGGCGACGGTATTCAAAAATCGCCAAAGAATGAAAATAGACGGAAGTCGATGTCGAAAGAAAATACACCTGTTCCACCCCCGGACGGTGGGTGGGGTTGGATGGTTGTTCTGTCATCGTTCTTGATACATATAATAGCTGACGGCATTGTTTATTCATTTGGAATATTTTACATGGAATTTCTAGAATATTACAAAGGAGGAAAAGGAGAAACAGCCTGGGTCGGTTCATTGGTACCCGGCGTTACGTTAAGTGTTGGTAAGATATACCTATTAAGTAATAAAATCCATATTTTTAACTTAAATCAACTATTTACTAATCTTTTAGGTAATATGCACGCTCGTATACATTCGATATTTTCCGTCACCTGTCTTATATACATTATGCATAAGCGAACAATGCTGTTGAATATTTGACGGAAAATGCCGAGGTTTGCAGAATGTTACGCTCTTTCATTGGATAAGACAAATGTTTAAAAGGAATACTCATTTCAGTTCAATTCAATAAAAAATGATCTTTCCATACGAGTTGTCTATTTACACAGAAACAAAATGGCTGATATCCGTTTCTTTTAAGCATTCACATGTTCGACTTTTTAGCTCACCTGAGCTTGCTCAGGGTGAGCTTGTAGGATCATTTTATGTCCGTCGCCCGTTCACATTTGTTCGTTAACACTCTAGGGGTCACATTTTTGCCTCAAACATCATCAAACTTTGTCAGGATGCTTGTCTAGCTAATTGCTCGGAAGAGTTCAAACAGGCTTGGTCACAGGAGCTAAAAATAGAAACATCTTGTTCACAAGTGGCTACTGTTTTGAAATTTTGTTTGAAAGAAAGTTTTTTTTGATGATTTCTAGATCAAGTTTGAATATGGGTCACCTGGGGTCAAGAACTAGGTCACACTGCCCAAATATGGAAAAACCTTGTTAATACTCTAATGGTAACATTTTTGACTCAATCGTTATGTAATTACTCGGATGAGTTCGATGGGCCAAGTCAGCGATCTAGGACCATCTTGGACCTCTTGTTTATTCAGTCATTTGTCAATGTTTTGATATAGGTATCAGTCAACCGTATCCCGTCAACAATTTCCATACTTTAAATAGAAAAAGGTATAATATCAAATCTTTACAAAAGTTAACGACACATAATTAATTCATAGATATACATATTGCTTGCAATAAGTAGTATGTTTCATGTATAGCGCTCTGACACTGGTGCAATATTTGATATGATACCAAAATTATATAAATATCATAACCCAAATATCAAAGATATAGATTTGAACAAAGATTGCAAGATGATACCCAAATATCATAACCCAAAAATTATAGATATATATTACAGCTCAGTTTTGTCTGGGTTTATAACACCAATTTTCTTATCTTGGACGCTACCAGATTCGGATGAGGGTATTAAAGGGACTCAACAGACGTTTTTTTGACATGAAGGAAATGGAAATAATTTTCCAATGTTTTTGTATATCTGAATATAGGTCTGGACTAATAACTTGTTTTCAAAATTTCAGATCATTAGCTCACTCAACTTTACAGGAATAATCAGTTTTATTGTGCACAAAATGAAAAGCGTTGCCCCACTTTTCACTCAAATCGGCCAGAAAACTTTATAGAAATCGAGTATCAATAAATTATTTAGTACCGAGTACATTTACATATCAACTATTCCTTTTTCAGCCCACCAATTGATTTATGACATAATTATAATACCTCTGAGTTCCTTTAAAACAATGCTCAAGATTTCGTGGCCAGTTTTAAAAGCAATCATTGCACCATTATAAAACTTTAAAATCTATAAATGAAATTAAAAATGAGTCAAGGACATGGTCGAATGTAGAGTGACTCTGATATTTATCACTATGTTTATCATAGATATAAATCAACATAATGTCACTTGATAAAAATGACACTCGATTGTGAAGATTGGACGTGTTTTGAGCTTATCCTTCCAGATAACGTTTGTAAATGGGCAGACTAATTTACATCTCCATGTTTCGTTTTATTAAGCCACATTTTTTTTCTTCAATATTTTGTTTTATCTCATTGCTTTTTACAAGGTCATTGAAAAGGTTAAATAACGCAGTTACCCATACTTGTTTTTTCATAATAATCTTTATCTTTGTTTTGTAGACAAATAAGCATGAACTGCTGTTAAAAGATTCGAATAAACGTGTTGACAGTCGCTTTTTACTTATCTGAGCATTTTAAAACTCAATGTTGTTTAACGACTTACAATGCCCCTTTAAAAGCCCTCACGAAAATGAGTCGTTATTATTAGTTTCAAACCAAAACGAAAAGATGTAAGAAACGTAACGTAACCTTCAGGTTCGACTGCTTTTTAGCGAAAAAGATAAAAATTCCGAAAAATCATGCCTCTTGTCATTAACTGCCCTCTGAAAGCGAAAACAACTTCCGCTGGTTCCAACGTACATTTTCTGGAACAGAATAATCTTAAATTTAATCCAACCAACAAATCACGCACGTTCATGTTAAGTACTTGATTAGAAACAAAATATAACATTGAGACCAACACAATTACATGCAATTATCTGTTTTTAACTTAGATAAAATACACAGTAATACCGGTTGCTTTTCTATTAACAGGTCCATTGGCGAGTATTCTGACTAACAAGTATGGTTGCCGGGTTACCACAATAGCCGGCGCTATTATTGCAGCTGCGGGGTTTGTGCTCAGCCTATTTGCTCCTAACCTTTACTTCCTGTATTTCAGTTTCGGTATTATGGCAGGTTAGTTTATTCCTATTTTTATTTATTAAAATGTAGTGTTCTTCCAAATGTGTTATTTAATGTATTTGAAAACATTTTCTTTTGTATATTGACATATGTTTTAAACTTGTCATACATTAAACACATGTATTTCTAAATTTATATCAAGAGGTTTAGCAGAAAACACAATTTTATTATTTTGTATATCAAAAATAGGCTTTATACAATGAATTTTAGTACTTGTTTGACCATCGTATCTCAACGTGTTCTTTTATTTGTGTATATACCATATAAGGCCTATTTAAAGTGCTTTTTTGATTTCAAAATACATGAAAGTTTATTTCTAGGAAATTCCTGAAAATTACACATGTATGTTTAAAAAAACGTACACATAGTTGTCTAAAAAAATAATTATGTGTAATTCTGTTATAAAAGAATATGCGATTTTTACGTCATGGAGTAACAGATAGCGTTCTCTTAATTTAGTAGGACACGGAAAGCTACTTCCGGTTGACGTAATTGTCAAATGAACACGCATCATTGTACAGTCATGAATTAAACTTTGATATGAAAGTTCAAGGATACATTTTCAAAGCATTGTCATGCATTGTTTATTGTAAAATTAAAAGATATGTATGTCTAACTTTAGCTAGTAAATAACCTATTTATTTGTTAATATGAAGAATAAATTTGTAGTTATTCGTACTCGTGTATGTGCTGCACTACGCATCAGTTCAAGGTTAAATCGAGTTATGCACATAAATGAATAGAATAGTTGATGTTTTTGACTTTAATTTAAAGATTACCCATTGTTATTAAATTTTATTTTCAGGTCTTGGATTCGGCCTAATATATTTACCAGCAATTGTTAGTGTCGGATATTACTTTGAAGAAAAGCGTGCCTTTGCGACAGGCCTTGCTGTTTGCGGCAGTGGTCTTGGTGCCTTTATTTTCAATCCATTTTCAAAATATTTGATCGACGAGTTCGGTTGGCGAGGTGCAATATTGATCGAAGCAGGCATTATATTAAACTGTGTTTTGTGCGGAGCTTTGTTCAGGCCATTAGAACATCCCAAAGCTTCTCAAAATAGTGATACTGCTAAGAAACCACCTTTAGATTCACAGCTTGTAAAAGACAGTCTTGAACTTGAATTATTTGTAAGTAATGGTACCACTGTGACGTCACAACCGTCGTCACCAACCCGTGATATTACTCCATTTAGTTTAGAGCCCCCACATAAAGACACTGCTATATTCCGAAGTGATGGCGCGTTACATCGTTCTACACACAAACCGATGACGCCATCACCCCTAACGATGGACCAAACACAAGGCACTAATTCCTCTACGCAGCCTCATCTTAGACGACTACTTTCAGAAGAACATCATTATCATCATCATCGCCATAGTAACCAGCACGCGCCATTCCGTTCTCATAGAAATTTGGTGCTTGGTAAGTAGATTAAGAAAAATCTAGTTATTTCAATCATTGGTCTACATGTATATTATAGATCTATAAAACATATATTTCTAGGCCTTGTTTGATTAAATTGTGGATTGATCAATTGATATCTATAACTTTTATCAAAAATAAACTTTACAAATACTAAATGTAAAGTTTAAAAATAAAAACAAGTTCTTACTTTTAAATATCATTGAATGGTGATAAACTGGCTTTAAACATCACGGTGCTATTTTTTTGGCCTGTTAACCGCCATATGGACAGTCTAAACAATGGGGAGGCAAAGCCTATCCAAAGAGCCTTAATTTATAAAGTATTTCAAAAAACATGTCTAACCAAATTGACGCTATTAAGGTAATGATCGATGTATAAACTGCTAGCAACACTGAAAATATGTTTCAATGTTTCATAAATGATGCAGCTTAAATTGTTATTGATTTATATACATGTAAAAATACATTGTACAAAGTTCAAACGGTTGGGGGGTAACGTGCAATTTTGCATGTAGCTGTAGCCTTTAATAATCCGTTAGTAATCAAAGCCTGCTGTATACGAATTCTGTGAGTCCAGATACATATACATTGTAATCAGTTCAACAACAACTAACGCTTTTCTTAGCTTTCGACATTTTATCTTCATCAGAAGCTGTCGGTGATGGTATGGCAGTTTATATTTTCTTCTCGAAATCTACTATTGATTTTAGTTACAGATGAACGCTTATGAAAGCTGTAAAAGGTTTTAGGGTTGAAAATGATGAGACCTTACTTACAATCACAATAAATGATGGATGTCACATATTTACAGTAGGAAAATGTTGAAATTTAAGATACATATAATGATATTTTTATTGATTAACTATTAATTTTACATCATATCGTTACAATATTTGAGTGCTTGCTGGACGACTAGTAGAGTGCCAGATGGCCCAATATTTAAGTGATAGCTGGTCCAATATTTGAGTGCAAGCTGGTTGACTAGTAGGGTGCGAGCTAGTCAAATACTAAAGTGCTTGCTGGACGACTAGTAAAGTGTTTAATGATCCATTATTACAGTGATAGCTGGTCCAATATTTGAGTGAAAGCTGGTCGACTATTAGAGTGCGAGCTGGCCAATAATGAAGTGCTTGCTGGACGACTTGTAAAGTGGTAGATGGTCCAATATTTAAGTGCTTGCTGGACGACTAGTAAAGTGCTTAATGATCCAGTATAACAGTAATAGCTGGTCCAATATTTGAGTGCAAGCTGGTCGACAATTAGAGTGCGAGCTGGCCAATAATTGAGTGCTTGCTGGACGACTAGTAAAGTGCTAGATGGTCCAATGTTTGAGTGATAGCTAGTCGAATATTTGAGTGCAATCTGACGAACTAGTAATGTGCTAGCTGGTCCGATTTTTAAGTGTTTCTGGACGACTAGTAAAGTGCTCATTGGTCCAATATTTGGGTAATAGCTGGACCAATATTTGAGTGCTTGCTAGAGGACTAGTAAAATGCTAGCTGGTCTAAATATGAGTGATAGCTGGTCCAAAAATTGAGTGCAAGCTGGCCGACTAGTAGAGTGCAAGCTGGTCAATTATAACAGTGATAGCTCTACCAATAATTGATTACAAGGTGGACGACTAGTGGAGTGCTAGATAGTCCAATGTTTGAGTGATAGCTGGTCCAATATTTGAGGGCAAGCTGGCGAACTAGTAAAGTGCTAGCTGGTCGGATATTTGAGTGCTGGTCCAATATAGAAGTGCTAGCTGGACGACTAGTAAAGTGCCAGCTGGTCCAATTTTTAAGTGTTTCTGGACGACTAGTAAAGTGCTTAATGGTCCAATATTTGGGTAATAGCTGGTCCAATATTTGAGTGCTTGCTGGAGGACTAGTAAAATGCTAGCTGGTCCAAATTTGAGTGAAAGCTGGTCCAAAAATTGAGTGCAATCTGGCCGACTAGTAAAATGCTAGCTGGTTAAATATAACAGTGCTAGCTGTACCAATAGTGGATTACAAGGTGGACGACTAGTGGAGTGCTAGATAGTCCAATGTTTGAGTGAAAGCTGGTCCAATATTTGAGTGCAAGCTGGCGAACTAGTAAAGTGCTAGCTGGTCCGATATTTGAGTGCTGGTCCAATATTTAAGTGCTTGCTGGACGACTAGTAAAGTGCTTAATGGTCCAATATTTGAGTGATAGCTGGTCCAATATTTGAGTGTTTGCTGGAGGACTTGTTAAGTGCTAGCTGTTCCAATATTTGAGTGATAGTTGGTCCAAAAATTGAGTGCAAGCTGGCCGACTAGTAGAGTGTGAGCTGGTCAAATATTACAGTGATAGCTGGTCCAATATTTGAGAACAAGGTGGGCGACTAGTAGAGTGCGTGCTAGATAGTCCAATGTTTGAGTGATAGCTGGTCCAATATTTGAGTGCAAGCTGGCGAAGTAGTAAAGTGCTAGCTGGTCCGATATTTGAGTACTGGTCCAATATATAAGTGCTTGCTGGACGACTAGTAAAGTGCCAGCTGGTCCAATTTTTAAGTGTTTCTGGACGACTAGTAAAGTGCTCATTGGTCCAATATTTGGGTAATAGCTGGTCCAATATTTGAGTGCTTGCTGGAGGACTAGTAAAATGCTAGCTGGTCCAAATTTTAGTGATAGCTAATCCAAAAATTGAGTGCAAGCTGGCCGACTAGTAGAGTGCAAGCTGGTTAAATATAACAGTGCTAGCTGTACCAATAGTGGATTACAAGGTGGACGACTAGTGGAGTGCTAGATAGTCCAATGTTTGAGTAATAGCTGGTCAAATATTTGAGTGCAAGCTGGCGAACTAGTAAAGTGCTAGCTGGTCCGATATTTGAGTGCTGGTCCAATATATAAGTGCTTGCTGGACGACTAGTAAAGTGCCAGCTGGTCCAATATTTAAGTGCTTGCTGGACGACTAGTAAAGTGCTTAATGGTCCAATATTTGAGTGATAGCTGGTCCAATATTTGAGTGTTTGCTGGAGGACTTGTTAAGTGCTAGCTGGTCCAATATTTGAGTGATAATTGGTCCAAAAATTGAGTGCAAGCTGGCCGACTAGTAGAGTGCGAGCTGGTCAAATATTACAGTGATAGCTGGTCCAATATTTGAGTACAAGGTGGACGACTAGTAGAGTGCAAGATATTCCAATGTTTGAGTGATAGCTGGTCCAATATTTGAGTGCAAGCTGGCGAACTAGTAAAGTTCTAAATGGTCCAATATTTGAGTGCTTGCTTGAAGATTAGTAAAGTGCTCGATGGTCAAATATTTGAGTGATAGCTGGTGTAGTATTTGAGTGCAAGTTGGACGACTAGTAGAGTGCTAGATGGTGCAATGTTTGAGTGATAGCTGATGTAGTATTTGGGTGCAAGTTGGACGACAAGTAGAGTGCTAGGTGGTCCAATACTAGAGTGATAGCTGGTGTAGTATTTGAGTGCAAGTTGGACGACTAGTAGAGTGCTAGATGGTCCAATATTTGAGTGATAGCTGGTGTAGTATTTGAGTGCAAGTTGGACGACTAGTAGAGTGCTAGATAGTCCAATGTTTGAGTGATAGCTGGTCCAATATTTGAGTGCAAGCTGGCGAACTAGTAAAGTTCTAGATGGTCCAATATTTGAGTGCTTGCTTGACGATAAGTAAAGTGCTCGAAGGTCCAATGTTTGAGTGATAGCAGGTCCAATATATAAGTGCTTGCTGGACGACTAGTAGACTGCTAGCTGGTCCAGTATTTGAGTGGTAGCTGGTCCAATATTTGAGTTTGCTGGACGACTATTACAGTGCCTAATAGTTCGTTATTTGAGTGCTAGATGGTCCAATAGTTGGATGATAACTGGATAAATTAACATGTGAACTTTCTTCTTGCCAATGGTAAAAAAAACCAGACAAAAATTCATGAACATATTTAGAAGTACTATTTCATTAAAACAAATTCTTCACAAAGTGCTCATTCTACTAACATTTTACCGGAGATTTTATTCATGTCTCTCTTTTTACCTTTTATGTTTAATGTGTATTGGTTTGCCGAATAGTTTTACTATGTTACATGAAGTGTCTGGCTTTTTAAATATTCAACAATTTACATGAGGTAACACCCTGTAGGTGTTGCAATTTTCGCACAAGTAAAGGTCATTCCATTAGTAGATGTGAAACATGGCAAGTCTGTTCTTAGAATATTTAAGTTTCTTCAGAAAATGTCTCCATATTGAGAATATAGACTTGAAATAAGAAACATCTGCACCAGATGGTGATTAAAGATATTAATACTAATCGATATACAAGAAAGAAGTTGCAAATATATATTAGAACTTACTAGATGACTTAGATTAAACATAAACGTGTTAACCATGTCAGTTTGTAATGTAATGGTCAGACAGGCAAGTTGGTAATGTAATGGTCAGACATGCATATGTTCTCGTAAACATTCGTCATTTTTCGTAAACATTCGGAAGTTTTCGTCACTTCCTGTGTCTTTAAGTGATCATATAACCTTCAGTATGACCATGATGAACTACATGAATCTTGTGAACAACTGAACGCTTGTTACCGAATACCGCATTTACAAGCATTTAGAGGCTTGTTACCAATTACATGTATATCAGTGAAAATGATATGTTAATTGTGTAATCATTTTCAGTCTATTTAGAACATAAACTGGTTTATATAATGATATATAGAGTTACCGTGTATTTAGAGCTTGTGCTATTAACTAAATATAGGCAGTGTTCAAGTGGCAAGTCGTTTCAAAAAGCACAAGCTTACAATCAGGCTACTCATTGTATGCCAGTAAATAAATAACGGCTGGTATTTCATTGCCAATCCCTACTTCTCACAAGAAGAATTTGAAGGTACACATTTGTGTCCGGACTGTAACTTTGTTATGCATTGAAGGATTTAAAAATTATTTGGCACACATATCTATCACATTTAGACAACGTATTGCGTCTAAGTCCCATGCCACTGCCTAAAAGGTCAAGGTCACACTTAGAGATTCAAGGTACACAT